CTGCCCGATGTGAAAACAGCAACGTTGTCGGTGCACCGCATCTTGGCAGCGGGGCAGTCCGCGCCGAGTGCCCGGGTGGGCACCTTGTCGGCAATCCACGGCGACTCCAGCCTGACACCACCCAAGATGTGGGCGTGGGCCTCCTGGATGAGGCGCACAGCCCGCGACCAGCCCATCGGGGCCACCCTGGCAACGAAGCCCAGGAGCTGGCGAGCCACTGGCTAGAGAAAGCGCGCCTGCACGGCAGGTAGTCCGAAAAAGTGGCGCGTCCAAGGTGGCAGCTCGTACTGGTGGAAACAGCAGTCCACGTCAGCGAAGACCACCGCGACTCCCTTGGGGGCGTCCACCTCCAGGTGCGCCAAAGTGTGCACGGCGGCTCCTGGCGCGTTCGACCTCCTAGGTGTCGAAAATCAACCGCAACGAGGAGTCCTTCTTCGGAACGAAGAAGATGCCAGCGCGCTCGATGATGCTGCCCTCGCCCACGCGCTCGATGATGCCCGCGGAGAGCAGCTCGGAAAGGCACTCGCCGTAGTGGTAGCCGTGCCTCTGCAGCACAGGGCCCATAGCACTGACCCGCGGGGCCGTGCCCAAAGCAAAATTGCGAGCCTCAGGCTCTCGTAACATCTGTGGAGAATCTGACAGGATAGTCTGCAGGTGCGTCGGCAGCACGTCACTGAGCCGCACACGCCCGGCCGCAGCCCGCGGGGGCGCCATGGCCCCCCTCCTGTAGGTCGTCCAAGCGCCGTCAGCCATGATATCTGCATAGCCGTTCCGCGAAGCCTGGAGCGTCTGCCACGCCCCCATGGGGGTCATGTCGGCTGGCGGCTGCTCCACTCTGCCATACAGCCGTGCGAGGTGCCGCACCGCCGCAGCCTGACAGGCGGCTGGGGGCCCAGCCGGAACGTCAGCGCCGCGACCGCCCAGGTCGTTGAGGGCGGCGATGCCCTCGCGCAGCCAAGCCTCCTGCTGCTGCCGAAGCCGCCCACGCCGTCCGCCGCCGCGCGGCAGCAGGCGGGCCGCCGCGCCTAGCAGCAGCTCGTCGAGCGACTGGTCCGACGGGAGGGGCAGAACGTCGCGCGCCAGCGTCGCGCCCATGACCCCTTGCGCCGAGGCCGCCATCACCACCACAGTGGCAGCCCTCCCCTGAAGTAGCGCCCGCTGCCCGGGGGCCTGCAGCGGCCGCGCGCCAACCGAAAGAAGGTGGCGGGCTAGCCCCGCCCACGGCCGCGGGCGCCACGCCCTCGGCCTGTGGGGCCTGCACCGCCGCCCGAGCCGCCGCCGCCTCCGCCTGGGTCGCCGAGGTCGGCGTCGGCCGCGCTGCTGCTCTCGCCACGCGCCATGCGGCGCTCCTCCCTCCCTTTGCGCCGCCCCTTGAGGATGGCGCTCTCCTCCTGCATCTTCGCCGCCACGTGGCGCTCCACAGTCGGCGCCACCAGGGCGCGCCAGTTCGCGCGTGCCCCTCCTGAAAGATGCGGCGCTCGTCCAGCCAGCCATCGGCGTCAGCTGCAGCACCGGCGGTGCCTGAGACTTCTGCCGGCCGCAGCGCCTCGGAGCACACCTCCTCCCAGAGCTGGAAGCGCCGGGCCGCGAGCTCAAACGTCTCGCACCCCGGCAGGTTGAGCTGGTCGGCCGCGGCGGCGGTCTCCAGGAGCTGGCACAAGAACAAATGTTCGTCCACTCGGGGGTCAGCGGCTGCCAACCCCAAAATCTGTCTCCACCAGTAGCGGCGCTGGACGGGCCCGCCGCCCTGCTCCAGGCGTGCCTGAAGCAACCAGCCGACGGTGGCGGGCCCCTCAATGCGCCACTCCTTGGTGTCCAGCGCCTCCTGCTGCTCAGCGACCACCTCAGCGAAGGCCCTGCGCCGCTGTCCCGTGCCACTCCGTCGGTACTGCAGGATGCGCTCGTCCAGCACTGCATGAGGTTCCGGTCGAGGTGGGTCCAACACGTCCTCAAGTGCGCCGACGCGCGCGAGCGCGATGACACCATCGGGGAAGGATGCCAGGGCGCGGTCGCCGCTGGCGTGGACCGCGGCGAGGGCCACGTCCACCGGAGCGCCCCGCTTGAAGCCCAGCCGCGTCTCCAGCGCCACCCAGCCGTCGTCGAGCCGCACTGGCGGTAGGGGCGCCCCGCCCGGGCCCGCGCGCGGCGGGGGCGCACGCGCTGGGGGCGGGAGCGACAGGCCCGCCGGGCGGTCGCGCCGCTCGGCGTCGGAGCCGACGAGCGTCGGCGTGCCTTCGTCGAGGACGATCGGCGTCTCGGGCGACACTGCGGGGGCGGCCTGCTTGCCTCGGAGGCGGCGGCCCGCGGGAAGGGCGGCACGCTCCCGCTCGGCCAGCTGCGCACCCTCCGCCATCAGGGCGGCCAGCGCGTCCTTGCCCAGGTCGGACCTGTAGGGGAGCTTCTTGCGCAGCTGTGGCGGCGGGCCGCCGCGCGGGCCACCGAGGTGCACCTCCGCGCGGTCCGCGTCGGAGAAGTCTTCGACGAAGACGTCCCCGTCAGGCGTCGCCACCGCCCAGAGTGAGCTTGCCACGTGCCCGCATAGCAGGCGCTCGTGATACAGTTTCTCCCCCAGGCTGTACAGGCAGTACACTCGGTCCCCAGGCCGCGCCGCCTTCATCATGTCCGTCAGGCCGTGCGGGATCACGGCCATGGAGCCGACCCACCAAGTACCCGCAGGCAAAGGCGGCCAGGGACGCCAGGAAGACGATCACGGTCACCTCTCAGAAGAAGGAGGGGCAGCGCGGAGGTGGGGCGTGTCGAAGCTGTTCAGGCCCGCACCTGTCCAGCTGCCGTTGCAGAAGCTGGACCAGATCTTTGTCGTGCTCCCCGCTGAAGGTGCACGTGCAGTGACACTCGCGCTGCCAGCTGCTCCAGAGATTGGCGGCGTACGGTCCTGTGGCGGCCCAGTCCCGAACTTGGTGGAGACCAGGGGCGAAGAGGGCCATAACACAGCGCAGCTCGAACAGAAGCGATGGCTACCGAGCAACTCAAGCGAACATGTGAAATGAACAATACCGTGAACTACTATTTGCCTTAGGTTTTTGAACGATTGTGACACTTGCTTCCTTTCGGCCTTCCGACGGACCGAGACGGCTCAAGAGCCCCCCCACAGATGCCCAAAGATCGCCCAAGATGCCTCCAAGATGGCCCCAGAACGGCCCAAGAGGCCCCCAAGACGGCCCCAAGAGGCCCCCAAGACGGCCCAGGAGGCTTTTAAGACACCCAAGATGGCCTCCAGGACAGCCCTGGAGCATTCCAACAGGGCCCCAAGTCGACTCAGAGAGGCCCCCCAAACGGCTTCCGACGGCGTCGGACGGGCCAGGGGCCCACCAAGACGACCGAAGATGGCACTAAGATGGCCCAAGATGGCCCAAGAGGCCTCCAAGAGGGCCTCCAGGAAAGCCGAAAAGGCCAAAGTCATTGATTTTTCATGAGTTGTTGGAGGATTGTGGCATTTGCTTTTTTTCGGCCTTCCGACGGCCCGAGACGGCCCAAGTGCCCCCAAAGATCGCCCAAGAGGCCCAAGACTGCCCCAAGAGGTCCCCAAGACGGCCCAAGAGGCCTCCAAGACGCTCAAGATGGCCTCTAAGACGGCCCAAGAGCAGACGTCCTCCAAGAAGGCCCGAAAGGGTCAAAATGGCCTCCAGGCGGCCAAGATGACTCTCAAGATGCCCACGTGTTCCCCGAAGGCTCTCCAAACCGATTCGGGGAACACATGATCCGATAGCTTGGCAGGTCTGGCCTCAACGTTCGGCCACCTAGGCGTTTCTCGAAAGGCAGGGGGCGGCGGTGATTCGCCGTAGGCGTCTTCCATCCGCCGCCCCCTGTGGTCTTGCCAGAACGCCAACGAATCAATATGCGCTGATGATTCCCATCCGCCCCCGCATGATGTTCCCGGATGCGCCAAGGCAGCGCCGAGACGCACCAACGCGACTCTCATATATCCCATTATGATAGAGGGGGGGGCTGGCGGCAGGGGGCGAAGCCCTTACAGATGAATAGACACAAGTCCCAGGATTCCCCATATACAAGCAGATGTTCTGGGCTTTCGTCTTCCCCGTCCACTTCTGATGCTTTCCCATACTTTCCCATACAGTGGAGGCCAGTCCACAAGAAACTTTCCACAAGAAACCCAACCCTGAAACACCAGGACGTCCATGGATTTTTGGTGTGGGAACGTCACGCTTTCCATCGCAAAACCATCGAAACCAAAGAAACCCAGGGCACCCTGAAGGCAAGCAGGGTGTTTCTTGGCATGGGCCTCCACTTTATGTTCTTCCTGGGGATCGACGATTGTTCGTGTCTGTGTGAGTTTGTTTCATGTCTTTGCAGATGTTCTGGGCTTTCGTCTTCCCCTTACACTTCGGATGCTTTCACATACTTTCCCATATGTTCCTGGGGATCGACGACTATTCGTGTCTGTGTGTTGTTTGCCTCCTTAACGTTGTGCATGGATCCGAAGAGGGCCGCGCCCCAAGCTCGGTATAAACTGCAGCATCCCGTGCGTCCGACCGCCCACTCGGAAAAGCGGGTATCGGGTGCCTGGCTCGTCTGGAGTCGGTCGGGGTCCGGCATGCGAGGGAGAGGAGGCGCAGGAGGAGGAGGAGGAGGCGGAGGAGAGGGAGGAGAAGGAGGAGGACGAGAAGGAGGAGGAGGAGCAGGAGGAGGAGGAAGAGGCGCAGGAGGGGGACCGCCGGAGCGACGTGGGTAGGAGGGGAGGAGTAGGCGCAGGAGGAGGAGGAGGAGGAGGAGGAGGAGGAGGAGGCGCAGGGGGAGCAGGAGGAGGAGGAGGAAGAGGAGGAGAAGAAGGGAACCGCCGGAGCGACGTGGGCATGAAGGACGCAGGGGCGGGGAGAGGCGAGAGGGAGACGGCGAAAGAGGCGGGCGGGGACGAGAATGGCGGGAGTGAGTGGATGCGGAGAGCGCGGGGATCGGGGAGGGAGGAGCGGGGAGGGCGGGGAGGGTCTAGGTCTGACTGGTGCGCGGCTTTGGCAGCTGGCCTGCTTATGCTCGCGCTCTTCCCTCTGCACCTTGTGCCTCGACTGCTCCAGGAGCTCCTCCTGAAGACCGCCGCCGCCTCCACCTCCGCCTCCTCCTCCTCCTCCTCCGCCTCCTCCGCCTCCTCGTCCTACTTCCTCCTCCTCCTCCTCCTCCTCCTCCTCCTCCTTATCCTCCTCCTCCTGCTCCTCCTCCTCCGCCTCAACATACCTATGCGGCCACCCTTCGGGTGATAAGGAGGTTGGGGCGTGGGGGGAAAGAACCGACTGCTGGCAAATGCGATGGGTGTGATGATGACGATGCTGGTGACGCGCCCTCAAGTGAGCGACGACGCGTGATGACGATGTTGCGCTGCGATACAATGTCACTATCGTTCTCACTATCGATCTCGCCTTCGATCTCACTATCGATCTCACTACCGATCTCACAACCAATGTCATAATCAGCCTCACTGTCGATCTCACCTTCAATCTCTCTCTATCCATCCCATTCTGGCGATGTCATTATCGATCTCTCACTATCGACTTCTCTACCGATACCAAGGCGGGACACCCCCAGCCACCGCCCACCCACCGCAGACGAAACACCGACGGGACACCAACGGGACACCACAGAACACCACGGCGGGACATCCTGGGCCACCGCGCGCCCACCAGGGGCGGAAGGGCGGTCCTCTGCATCCGAGTCGCCCTGGCGACGGCAGGGTCATTCCTCTCGCGCGCCCACGCAGCTTCGCCTCGCCCACACGCACGACACGAAACCGAAACCGATTTCCCGGTGGGGGGCTCGCCATTCCGCTGCGATCTCAGCCCCCAACCTCTGATTTCGGCACGTACGCTTTGGTTGTGGTATCCCAGTGAGCCGCAGCATGAACGAGTCCCGCATCCAGCTCGCTGGAGCAGGGGGTCCTACCCTAACACCCCAACCCAGCACGGTGTCTGCCAGGTCTCAAGACACGACCCTGCGATGTGCAGAGCGGCTACCATATGGAGAACTAGCACATCACTTGATAGCGTCCAGATCGAAAACTGGAGGTCATGCCATGCCCTCTGTCATTTCGACATGGTTATCTCCTCCTCATCCTCCTCCTCCTCCTCCTCCCCTTTCCTCCTCCTCCTCCTCCATTCCTTCTCCTTGTAAATAACTTCTCCCTGTCGCACCCCGAGGCCAGTTTTTAGGGCGGGCCGGGCATTTCGCCTGAGACGTTCTCACCATGTATGACTCTTAACAAGTGACAACAGTTTCACAGATGGGGGGCGGGTGGTTTTCAAAATGTGGCTCTCGCCTACGCGCCGCGCACATTCGTTTTTTCAAAACTTGCAAGCGTTTCACGGATTGAGGGCGGGTGGTTTTCGAATTGTGACTCTCGCCTCAGCGCCGCGCACATTCGTTGTAAAAAATCGCAAGAGTTTCACGGATTGAGGGCGGGTGGTTTTCAAAACGTGGCTCACGCCTTAGCGCCGCGCACATTCGTTTTCAAAATTTGAAACGGATTCTCATGATCAACGTACCAGAAATGATGTTCTGGAAGGGTTCAGGATTATGCTGGTGCAACAGTTATGTTGATACGCGGTGCTGAAGTCTCAAAATGGCGTTGTAGCACGATTCCGGATCGTCAAGACGCAGCAGCCAGGTTGATAGGTGGCGTTGGAATACCGAGAATAATGTTTCGGCATGCTTCAGGATCTCCAAGCGGTTGTCTTCCAACGAGGCAGTTCCCTCAATGTAATTTAACCGTTGTAGGGGTCTATGCAGAGGGAACTTGGAGGGAGGGTAAATTCCAACATCGTTGATGACTCTTGGGTTTACACTGGTCCTCCTCCTCCTCCTCCTCTTCCTGTTCGTCTGCTCGTCCACATCATCGCTCCTCCTGGCGACTGCGCTGGTGGATCCTCAAGTGTGCGCTGTCACTCTCCACCTTCACACTTGCAGCGGTGCCACTGATGTCAGGCAAGACACTGCGATATCGGCATGATGAGCAAGAAGCGGCATCAAGCATACGCTTAAGCACGGAGAGGAGGAGCGGAAGGAGGCGGCGGGAAGGCAGGACAGCGGCGAGAAGGCGAAGGAGAAGACAGGAGCAGAGAAAAGGAAGGGGAGGGAGACATCAGAAGGAGCAGGAGGAGGTGCAACGCGTCAGCGGGTCCTTCTCAGTCGCCACCCTGGTGGCCGCCTCGGCGGAGGCGGTGGCCTCTTTGAGGGCTGCCTCGCATAGGGGCGCTTCAGAGCGAGGGGAGCCAAGCCAAAGGGTCTTGCACTGTTCTTAGGTGGGTGACTGAAGTGGGGTTCCGCGGTGCGGATTAGTGCTGCTGCCCTTGTTTTGTACTCGTCATCCCGCGACCCCATCCCACGACCCGCCCCGCGACCCGCCCCCACGACCCGAATGCGACCCGCCCCAAGACCAGCCTCACGACCCGCTTTGCGATCCGCCCACACTGCCTTGAAAAAGAAATCGGCACCCGCGGCTTTGTCTTGCAAAGGCTATGTACCCCGCCCGCGCGGACTGCAAACCGCCATGCCACCCGCACACACGAGTTTGAACAGATCGGCGCCAGCAACGGACTGTTTTGCATTGAGAATGCAAGGAGCACGCATGCTAAGGATCAACACAAAATACGGACGCAGGCCAACCAAGCATCGTGAGGGCCCCTGGCCCAAAGGAGAGAGAGCTACACGGGCTTGCGCGGTCGAAAGCCACAACCCAGGGAAGGAAAAAACAAAGTCTGGAATTCCCAACCTTGGAATTGCCCAGCTGAGATCGGGAAACCTTCGGGCTGAAGCCCTGAAAAAGAAAAGGCCGCCTCCCAGAAAAAAATCAGCCTCGGTTCGGAAGTCTAAGACTCAGGACACCATCCAGGACACATCGAGGACACCCCCCAGGACACGTCCAGGACACGTTACAGGACACTCGCAGAACACGCTTTAGGGCGCGCAACAGGACGCCCTCCAGGACACCTTTAGGACACCTTCCAGGACGCTCTCCATGACACCCTCCAGGACACCTCCAGGGCGCCATCAAGGTCGCAGGATCATGCCAGGGCGCCATCCAAGGCACTTCCAGAACATCCTCCAGGGCACCTCCAGGGCACCTCCAGGGCACCCTCCAGGACACCTCCAGAAGACCCTCCGAGACTCCTCCAGGACAGTCTCCCGGACACATCCAAGACACCATCCAAAACACTTCCCGGATCCCCGCCAGGACACTCCCATGATAGCGATACGCTCCAGGACATTGGGGGGCACGGAAGCGAAGCGAAGCAAAGCGAACGCCGGAGTCGTGCGTGCTCCTCTGTGGAGCCCGCCCGTGCATGGCGTGGAGGCCGTGGCCTCGACAGGGAAGAGCCCCCATTCAGGCCTGGGAAACGTATGCCCGCTCATATGATGCCTCCTCCTCCTCCTCCTCCTCCTCCTCCTCCTCCTCCTCCTCCTCCTCCTCCTCCTCCTCTCCTCCTCCTCCTCCTCCTCCTCCTCCTCCTCCTCCTCCTCCTCTCCTCCTCCTCTCTCCTCCTCTCCTCCTCCTCCTCCTCCTCCTCCTCCTCCTCCTCCTCCTCCCCCACCTCCTCCTCCTCCTCCTCCTCCTCCTCCTCCTGCTCGTCCTCCTCTGGGGTGGACGGGGAAGGAGAGAAAGGCACGGTCCACGGTCGGAGTATCGGACTGTGGCGGGGGGAGGGCTGGCGAGCCAGGGGAGGGTGCGGCAGGGGGGGCGCTCGTGGGCGGGAGGGGGTGCGGTCCACGGCCAGCATACCCGCCCTGGGGGGAGGGCAAGCTGGGGTGGGGGGCACCCAGCATGACCCCAAGGGGCCTCCCAGAAGCCCCTAGAATGCCTAAAGACGTCGCCAGGGGCCTCGAGAAAGCGCCAAGAGGCCGCCCCCTGGGCCTCCAAGAGGCCCCCAAGAAGCCCCGCAACAGAGACGGAGGGAGAGGAGGACGAATTAGCAACAACTGCACGCAGACCGCAAGACGAGAAGTCGCAAACCACGCGCACGAAACCAGAAGCCGTTCATGTTTTCCCTCCTGGGGGGGGGCCAGAAGACTGGCGCAAGCCTCTTGAATAACGGACCGGGGGCGAGCAGGTTGGGGTGGGGCGGGGGATGGAGGGGCACGGTCAACGGCCGAAATCATGCAGTGCGAGATCACACTGGCGGGTGCGACAATGATGGAACATCAGGCGCCTGCACCCGCGCCACCTGCCTGAGCCTGCGACCCGCCCCACGACCCGCTGGCGACCCGTCGACTGCGGCCCGCCCCGGGCCCGCCGACCGCTGGCCCGTCCGCGGCCCCAGCCCGCGGCGACCCACCCTCGCCGCGAGCCGCGCCCGCTCGTCCCCAACTGCGGGGTCCCGCACAGCCCCTGCCCCGCGTGAGGGGCGGCGGGCGGGGCGGACGAGATCTCCTCGTGCTGCGCCACGCTTCGAGCAGACGGGCCTCCTCCACAAGGCGGGGCGCAACATCCACTCCAGCGCGTCCCGTGAGTGTTCCTCGCGACTGCGGTGCCACGTCGCAAGCGGAGGAGCAGGACCGAGGGAAGGGGGGGGTCGGACGGGCGCGCCACGGGGGCCAGCGGGCGGGGGCGAGCGCGGACGCGGGAGAAGGAGAGGGGGCGGCGGCAGGGGCCAGAGGGAGGCAGGGGGGAGGCAGGGCGGGGGGGCAGCGAGGCAGGGCGAGGGCGAGGGGGGGCGAGGACGGGGGCGAGAGTTATGTTGCATCCTCGGGGGACCTTGGCTGCCCCATCGCTGCCCTATTTGCATCGAATCCGTGTCGAATCCATGTCGACCTCGTCGAATCCGTGTCGATTATGTGACGAATCTGCGTCGAATCCACGCCAACTTCGCGTCGAGTCCGCATCGAGCCAGCGTCGGGCACAAGAAAAGACACCAATTTGGGGAACACGCGAGGCCCCCCGCAGATACAACGTAACGAACGAGGAAAGGGGTGGGGGGACCCCGTCTCGGAACTATCTGGCTGCTCCCCTCAAGCCCCGCAGGGCCTCCCGTTCTGCCCCCGCACCCTCCCTCCCGCGACCCCCCACATGGTGGAAAGCTAAGATCGAGAGGGAGGCGAGGAGGAGCACAGGGGGCAGCAGGCAAGGATGAGGGCGGAAGGGAATACCGAACGAAGCCGCGCCCGCACGGCACGCTGGCAAAGAGGAGAAGCTCATGCGCATTGAAAGAAAGTACTGCCGCAGCGCCTCGGAATTTCCACGCCAGCTGCTTTGATCCAGCGTGGTACGAGGGATGACTGCGCAACTACCACGGCACCCCGTTGCAATGAAGGGCCTGGGAGGAGGAGGAGGGAGACAATACTCTATTAACTGTTGTGCACAATACCGCTCTACAACTTCATGCCACATTGACAGATTCTGCAAGAATGCTTGTCATGCATCCGGGCCGTTGTCTGCCACCCCGAGTGCCTCTGCGCGCGCATAGCTTGCAGACGAAGGCGCCCTCGAGACCGTGACGACTTCCGGTTTCGAGGTAGAACCTCATGATCTTGACCACTCTCGAACACCATAGCTCTCGGGAGGGAGTGCCGGCGCGAAGGGGATAGGGGGACAACAGAGGGACGGGGGCGAACCAGCGGCATGCAGCCGGTGTTCCTGGCGCCTCCCAGCGAGGAATGCATCGAGGAATGCGCCCAGCGGAGGCGCTGAACCCAGCTGCATGTGGCAGTTTTCGCAAACCCCCTTTCCCAATACGCCCCCCGTGTCGTCCGACCCGAAACGAAGGAGGGGGGACGCGCAGAGACGGGGGGAGCTCGAGGGGTCGGAGCGGCCTCAGCAAGGTGTGGGGCCCCTGAGGTGCCCTGCCCCACAGGAGGCAGCAATGCTCAACGTACTACAGATCGAGCGAAGACGCGATAGGACAAGGCAAGATCACCGAACAAGTGTCGACCACGAATGCCGCCTCTGGGTGCTTTCCACTCTGTGGAGCTCACTCTCGAGGCGCTGTGGCAGAGTACTGGCGCGTAAGTCCAAAGTTGCCTACGGCCGCTGGGCACATCAAGAATAGGCCCATCCCGATACTCCCGATGCACCGAAAAGATCGTGATCGCTATGTAGTGTCTGAGCCTTCCCTTAGCAAGTGTGGCTGACGCTGAGCCGTGAGATGAGGACACGTGGTTGCCCTCGCAGCTCTTCCATGTGTAGCGTACACTCCCCGAGATACCGACTTCATAAAATGTCACATAATATAGCTTGGCTCTACGCGCAAATGAAGGACAATACTTCTGGACATCGCAGGCGGAAATGCCGCTGGGTCGACTGGCCCCGCCTGCTTCGCCTCGACAGCTGGGTCTGTCGGCGCGCCACCCTTGCAGACGTGCTGCAGCGGATTTTTGCGTGGACTTCTGTCCATGCAAAACCCCGAAACGGCGAGTGAAAAACGAAATATATTTCGCGTGGATTTTTAGTCTTCATTCCTGGCCAAAAAAATCCACACGAGATTCACCTCGAAATCCGGAACGAAATTCTCCAGAACACTCCGGGCCCATCCTATCGTTTTCCAAACGAAGTCCGCTCTGCAATGTGGGCGCCATGCGGTCTGCTCGCAAGTGAGCAGAGAAGGCTGGGTCGGCTGGCCCCGCCTGTTTCGCCTCGACAGCGGCGTGCTCTTCCCCGACGCGCCGGCCGTGTTCGGCCTCCACCGGCCGGCCGAAGAGTCGCATGGAAAGCGGAGGGGGGTGAAAGTGATGTATTCCTCTCCTCGATCCCACTGCTCCTCCCTCCTCCCCACTCCTCATCGGTTCTCCTCTTCACTCCTTCTCCTCCGCCTCCTCCTCCTCCTCCTCCTTCTCCTCATCCTCCTCCTCCTCCTCCTCCATCTCATCCTCCTCCTCCTCCTCCTCCTCCTCCTCCTCCTCCTCCTTCTACTCCTCCATCTCCGTTCTCCTCCTCCTCCTTCTCCTCCTCTTCCTCCTCCTCCTTCTCCTCCGTATCCCTTCTTCTCCACTCCTTCTCTCTCCCCTGCTCGTGCGCACCTCCTAAACTGTAATCCGAACCGTCCTCCCTCCTTCTCCTATTCCACCCATCGTCATCACAACCACCACCATCATCATCATCATCATCATCATCAACATCAGCATCATCATCATCATCATCATAATCATCATCACCATCACCATCATCATCATCATCATCATCATCATCATCATCATCATGATCATGATCAACAGCAGCAGCATCATAACATCAGCATCACCATCGTCAGCATCAGCAGCAATATCATCGTCATCAACAATAGCATCATCAGCAGCAACATCATCATCAGCATCATCATCAGCAGCAGCATCAGCATCATCAGCATCATGTTCAGCATCGTCATCATCACCGTCATCACCAGCAGCATCATCAGTATCATGTGCACCGTCATCACCGTCATCACCGTCATCATGTGCAGCATCAACATCAGTATCATCATCAGCATCATCATCACCATCACCATCACCATCCTAATCATCAGCAGCAGCAGCATCAACATCATCAGCAGCAGCAGCATCATCATCATCATCATCATCATCATCATCATCACCATCATCATGATCAACAGCAGCAGCAGCATCATAACATCAGCATCACCATCGTCATCATCATCATCAGCAGCATCATCACAATCATCATCTGCATCTTCATCGTCACCATCAGCAGCATCAACATCTGTATCATCATCAGCATCATCATCACCATCACCATCACCATCCTAATCATCAGCAGCAGCATCATCATAATCATAATCATCCTCAGCATCAGCAGCAATATCATCGTCATCAACAATAGCATCATCAGCAGCAACATCATCATCAGCATCATCATCAGCAGCAGCATCAGCATCATCAGCATCATGTTCAGCATCGTCATCATCACCGTCATCACCAGCAGCAGCATCATCATCAGCAGCAGCATCAACATCATCAGCAGCATCATCCTCATCGTCATCATCATCATCACCACCATCAGCATCAGCAGCAGCATCATCATCAGCATCCTCAGCATCATCATCAGCAGCAGCAACACCATCATCAGTAGCATCAACATCATCAGCAGCATCATCCTCATCGTCATCATCATCACCACCATCATCATCAGCATCATCATCAGCATCCTCAGCATCATCATCAACAGCAGCAGCAACACCATCATCAGCGTCAGCATCATCAGCAGCAGCAGCAACAGCATCATCAATACATCTATGTATGAATTATGATCATTATCATCAGCATCAGCAGCAGTAGCAGCATCCCAAGACAGCCCAAGGGGCCCCCAAGGGGAGCCAAGACGGTCCAAGAGGGCCCCAATATAGCCCTGGAGGCCGCCCAAGACGACCCCGAGAGGCCCCCAAGAAGGCCTCAAGAGGGTGAATCCGAACGGACCCTTCTAGTCCTCCACCCCAAGTTGACCCCAAGAGCCCCCAAGATGCCCCCGAGGCGCCCCCAAGGGGCCCCCAGAGGCCCTCGAGAGGTCCCCAAGAGGCCCCCAAGAGGACCCCGAGAGGTCCCCAAGAGGCCCCCAAGAGGACCCCGAGAGGCCCCCAAGAGGCCCCAAAGGCCCCCAAGAAGCCCCAAAAACCAAGAGGCCCCAAGAGGCGCTCACTCGCGTGCTGCCAGACCAGAGGTGCACGGCCTCACTTGGTATTGCTCGGAAGCGACAGCGATGAACGATGAACCTTCCACCCGTCGCCGTCACCAGTCGTCGGTCGTCGGCCGTCGGCAGCCGTTCGCCGTCAGTCGTCGTCGTCGTCGTCGTCGTCGTCGTCGTCGTCGTCGTCGTCGTCGTCGTCGTCGTCGTCGTCGTCGTCGTCGTCGTCGTCGTCGTCGTCGTCGTCGTCGTCGTCGTCGTCGTCGTCGTCGTCGTCGTCGTCGTCGTCGTCGTCGTCGTCGTCGTCGTCGTCGTCGTCGTCGTCGTCGTCGTCGTCGTCGTCGTCGTCGTCGTCGTCGTCGTCGTCGTCGTCGTCGTCGTCGGTTCGTCGTCATTAACTCCTTCGTCGGTCGTCGTCGTAATTATCCCACTCGTCGACCGTTGGTCGTCCGTTGTCGTCGTCATCGTCCATTTCAACAACAATAGCATCAGGAGCGCCCTGGATCGGCGGCACTGGTCGGAGGCCACTACAATATGAATTATCATCATTATCATCAGCATCAGCAGCAGTAGCAGCATCATCAACATCACCGTCATCAGCATCATCATGATCATCAGCAGCATCAACAACGTCAGCTGCAGCAGTATCACCCTCAGAAGCCGCATCATCAAGCATTATCATAGCATCAGATCACCACCATCCTCACCACCACCACTATCATCATCAGCAGCAACAACAACATCATCATCATCATCACCCTCCTCCTACTCCTCGTCGTCGTGCTCCCCCTCCTCCTCCTCCTCCACCACCTCCTCCTCCTCCTCCTTCTCCTCCTCGTCCTCCTCCTCCTCCTCCCCTTCCTCCTCCTGCTGCTACTCCGCACCTTCATATTCATCGACGAGGGCCTCAAGGGAGGCTACGAAATGGCCGCGAGGCGGCCCCTGGCTCCCGTGCAAGGCAGGCGGCAGGCAGGGCGTCGTCCAGACGGGACCGAAGAAAGAAGGGAGGATGGGGAGCGGGAGAGGGGGAAGGGTAGGGAGTAGACAAGCGCGTTCCACTGCTCGCACAATAACGACTCGCAGACGGCCTGGATCTGGCGCGGGGGATTTACGACCCATGACGTCGAGGCAAACCTGTTTTTTTGACGCTTGCGAGTAGGCGCTTTGCGAGTAGCGGAACGCGCTGGATGAGGGAGGGGGGGAGAGGGAGGAGGGAGAGACGCATGAAGAGGAGGAGGGGGCGAGGGGGAAGAGGACGGAAGAGGAGGAGAAGGGTGCAAAAGAGGGGGCCTGGCTGAGAGGAGAAGCCCTCTAGGCGAGCCTGCATTCGCGGGGGGGGGGGGGCATCTCGAAGACTGCACGCCGAGCGAGAGTAAGAATTGCCTCGGGACGTTGAAGCTGATGTGCCCTAGATCAGGAACTGCACAGATAGACAAAGTGGCACGCATGCCCTGGCTCTTGCGCGAGGGAGCGGCGAGGGAAAGGAGAAGCGTGGGGGACAGGTGCATGGACGTCAGGGACGCCCGAGATCGATGACGAATCTAAAGGAATCCGAAGCGCTGGAGGGGAAGGGGGGCGGGGAGGCCATGGGGAAGCCAGTGAGGCCGAGGGAGTGGGGCCATGGGATGCCGCGATAATACGACGACACGGCACGACAACACGACGACACGACACGACAGGACGACGCCGGAAAAAAAAAAGTAATCCGAAGCCCTTGGGGGGGTGAGGCCAGGCAGTCCAGGGAGGCCAGGAGGCCAGGGCTACCCAGGACTCGGCGGGAATAAAGAGATCCGAGCTCAAGAAGACAACTGCGCAGGATAGTCCAACAATCAATCAGCTTTGGGCCCCATCTCCCCGCCTTCCTGCCTCTGCCCAGCAGGAGAAAATCGTGGCCTGTTGCTCCAAAGCAGCGCGCTCCGCGCCCCGCAGGGCATCGCGAACCAGGTCGAGGAACTGCCCCTGGCAGAAGGTGCAGAAAGGAATGTCTCTAGCTCTCCCTCTCCCTCTCTCTCTCTCTCTCTCTCCTCTACCCTAACGCTTCGCAATGCTCTGGTATTGACCAGAAACGAGACGTACTCCAACACCGACTACGTCTGCTTCGACGAACCCCACCACGTTACACCCCCTGGGGATATTACGAAGACAGATACAAGCTCTACCACAATAATACCCAGGGCGATAACATCTGAATATGACATATACGTGGGCGGTGTAATATCTGTATATAGAGGCAGGGTAATATAATCGTAGGCCACCGTAATATCTGTCTTCGAAATATCTGTCAATGGCACGAGGGCCTTTGCTAGAACGAATAGTGTTGCAACCAGCCAGGGCCATGTGAAGATCAAAACTTCGAGACTACCACAAGTGTGCTCATAAGAAGTATTGCATGTTAAGATGGCACTGACAGTGCAACTCTATCAACGAAAAAAGAAAAGCACCGCTGGTTGCCACACGGGGGGGGCACCCGAACCCTGGCACCTTACCCCAAACAACATAGTCCGACCGAACCCTAATACCCTGACCCGTGACACCCTAACACCATAAACATACTACCCGAACCCTAACACCCTAAAACCCTGACCGAATACACCCTAACAGTCTAACATAAATATGCTAGCCCTACCACACGAACACCCAGACCCCAGCAATCAAACCCTACCCCTAAACACAAACCCCTAAATCCTGACACGCAAACATATTCACCCTGACACCCTAACCCTAACACATTAAGACACTAACCCCAGCACCCTACCCTTGACCGTGAGGCCCCTAACCCTAACACCGTAACCCTAACATCCAAACCCTGACAGTCGAAAACCCTCCCTCACCCCCCGACACCCTCACCCTAAGCCGCCTTACCCTTCCAACCCAATACCGTAGCAACCTAACCCGCCCACCATAGACATGACATCCTGACCATAAACGTGAACACCTAAAACGTAGCAACATGTTCACCGCACCCTAACCCCAGAACCCTAACCACAACTCGAACGCCCGAACCCTGACATCCTTCCCCAACCGTCATTCCGCGGCCTAACCCGAACACCGCAACACCTTGATCCTAACCCGATCACCCGATCCCTAACCCTAGGAACCCTACCCATAACAAACTGAGCCTATGACCAAAACCGTAAAACCGTAACCCTCACATGATAGCCACCCTGATCCAAACACCCTAACGCCCTAACGTTCTAGCACCCCGACCCTAACACCCTAACCCTGGTAAGCTCACATGCTAACCCTAGCACGCTACCCTAACCGTAAGCCCCCTAACCCTAACACTTTAGATCTAACATCCTAGCCCTAATTCCAAACACCCTAAGCGTAACACCAACACCCTAACGGTCGTGCAGCTGGCAGCCCCCAGGAAGGCGAGGTCTAGGTGTGGCTCCCTGTAGCCCCGCACACCGCTGGATCTCCCAGGAGCCAGCGAACGCTACGACAGTTGCGCAGTTAGCGGCTGCCCTCAGGGAGGCGAGGTCCAGTTGTGGTCCATTTCGCCCCGCACTCCGCTGGACCTCCCAGGAGCTCACGAAACTGGCAACATCTGAGATGCCAGTATTTCCCAGAGAGGCGAGGTAGTAGGCATCGAAGAGACAGGCTGGAGATAGGAGGCATGAAGGAGGTAGGAAAAAAAGGAAGAAGGAAAGTGAGGAAACTGGAGAAGGGAAAGAAGAGAGAGAGGAAAGAATGAGAAAAGGAGGGATAGAGGAGAAGGAGGATGCGGCAACGGTGCTCTTGTCAGACAAGAACCCAAGACAGGGTGGTTTGGGTAGAAACCACGATCGGGGACGCCTGTCCTAGGGCAGCTGATACGTGCGTAAACCGACGTACACCCGCAGGGGTACAAAACTTTCCAGCCGCCCTGGGATAGGCGTTCCCAAAGGCGGAGCAGCTTACTGTATAATGCTCTTCACACGATACAGAAATCCACAAATCTCTCATAGGAAGGCCCGACCCAGGAGGGCCCAGAAGGCCGAAGAAACTCCACATGAATGCTCCAGCGGGCGGCAAGGAGTCAGAAACCCCCAGGTCCACTTTGCGGTCCTCTGGAGCATGGTGAAATCAATTGACACAGCGGCGGGGGGAGCACCGAGGGGGGGGGGGGGGCAGTGCCGAGCCAGAGCTGCACTGGGCTGCACTGAGCTGAAGCTGGGGGGAGGCAGCAGGGAGCTGCAGCTGGTGGTGGAGAACACAACGAAGGGAGCCCGACCCAGCGAACCGAGAACAGTCCAGGGTTGCACCAGTGCGCCGAGACCAGCGGGCCTACGACGCGCGTGCGGGGAGGTGGAAGCCTTCCGCACCGCAAATAGGAACCGCGCGGCACTGAGCGGCACAGAGCAGAAGCGGGAACAGGCAGCCCGCGGAAGGGCGGCGGTAGGGAAGCACGACGAGCGACGCAGAGTCTCGACTCGAGCCGACGGGAGAGCACCCCGACGTCAGCAACGGTGGGGAGCGCCGACACCAGGAGGACCGACGAGGCCCAGGCGCGGAAGAGCGGGACAGCCAGGGCAGGGAAGGAGCAGGGCCACGCCAATTGGGGGAGCGGCACGCCCAGGGCACAGGCAGGACAAAAAAAAGGGCGACGGCACGAGGCGGCGAACGCCAGCCGGAGGCGAGGACCGCGGGAAGGCCACGCCCACTGGAAGAGCGGCGGGCCAGGTGGGGCGAACAAGGTGGGCCCCGAGGCAACGAGCCAACTGGGCAATGACCGATAGCGGCGAGGCGCCATGGAAACAACAGCGGCCAAACACTGGTAGCCGCTGCTGGAGAAGAGGCCAGAAAACCAGGCAGCCAGTGGGGGGGGCACCGGCAAGTAGCGACTGTCGCCCGGCCAGCGAAGCACGGCAAGGGCCATCAGCAGCGCCTGGACAGAACCTGCAGAAGACCGGCACCCCAAGAGGCGGGGGGCGGCGGCGGGGCAGGGCCACCCAGGTAGGCAGACAGGAGGAGCCCGGATACGCCACGAGCAGGCAACAAAACCCGCCCGCTGCGACAGGGCCCACCCAAATTAGGGCGGCGTCGGTGGGCACCGGCCGAACGCCGGCAGCCAACGAGACCTCACGCGCGGGCGCGAGAATGCGACCCGGCGCGGTGGCGACGCGGGCGGCTGCGGGAGGAGGCAGACCCCGACACACACACACACACACACACACACACTCACTTCCTCATGGTACCATCACGATCGCACGCACTCCCCAGCCAACGATGGTACCTAAAAGATGCACCAAGCAAGCCCAGAGCCATGAGATGAACTTCCAACAAAGGCGAGCCCGCACGCAAAGCCTCGGCTCGTGAACTCACCCCACACACCATGCGCGCCAGGGCAGAGGCAAAAATAGCGGTTGCGGCGGAACCTGTGGATTACCCTACACGATCAACGCCAACATCAAAGGCCTCAAATAAAGTGGCCGGTCGGGTAGACGTCACCACATTCAGGGGGGAGGAGGAGGACGAGGAACAGGAGGACGAGAAAGGAGGAAGAGAAAGAAGAGGGAGAGGCTGATACGAAAATGCCCAGATTCGTATCATCTAGTTCCGCGCAGTGCACGGCGGAGAGAAGGAAACGCACCCAACTGAGCGACGTTCAGGCCAACCTGCGATAGGCGAGCCGTCGCGCGCACTGGCAACATTATGGAACTATCTGAACCCGAGCCCCGTGAATGACAACGTAAACTTAAAACAGGAGAAGAACACGAGGAAGGAGACGGGGAAGGAGGGAGGGGGAGGAGAAAAGGGAGAGTACATGTTGCCTGGAAGTCGGAGCGTTCCTATACCCGTGTGGACGCACACGCCCTAGCAGGGACATCCCGCCTGCGGCAAGCACAAGTTTCTACATGCATGCGTGCATAAACGACTCCTCCCAAGAGCCCCGCCGTAGCGGGACGCGAAGGGGACTCCCGTCAGCCTAAACGTTCGCCTCGGCGCTGGCCTGCACGGAGGTATTCGGCAAACGCCTCTTTGAAGTCCGAAGCCTCCAAGTGACCGTGCCGCCTGCCGTTGTAGGTCCGGTACAGAGCGTACACAGCTAGAGCCCTACGCTGGACCTCTTCCGGTGGCCGACACTGGTCCCCCAAACCCAGGAAGGCCTCCAGCTCGAAGCCTGGATCGGGTGGTTGGACGCCGCGCGCCTGCTGAACAGACGTCGGACAACGGGGCAACCGGCGAGGTGCCGAACGCTGTCCTCTGGGCAACCGCAGCCCATCCGGACTCGCCACGAGCCCCGAATCGTGATCGCGTGTACCACCCATTGCAGAAGAGTCTGAAGGTAGCAGACCTAATCCTTGGTTGACAAGTGCTGCTTACAACCTGCAAGACATGGCGGGTCCGATGTGATCCACGACCACGAAGCAGGAGAATACACCACTCGTCCATTTTTTCCTGAAGATGTCCTAAGGCGAGGCCTGCGAATTTCCGTATACGTGCTTCGCCACCCGCCTCTGCCAACCGAGCCGGTCTTCCCAGAGACGGTCATCAGGACATCGACGACGAATCGCGTCCACCCGGCACGCGGCCCGATGCAGGTTGAGAATGAAGCTGTTGTCGCGCCAACCGCAAAACCAACCGAAGCGACCCAGCGCAGAAGCCGAAGTACAAGACAAAGCCTGCAGCCTTGCTGCCCGTCTCCCGATATGGAGGGCCCCGTGGGCCTCAAAGATCACGACTCTGGCCTTCGCCGCGACGATTGTCGAAGGAAGGTCGGCGAGCTCCTCCGAGAAGCGCAGGGACTTGAACTCCCGGGCGCAATCCGCCGTCATCCAGTCCTTGGGGCCTGGGAGAAGCTTCCAGCAGGCCGTGACCTCCGAGAACCGGAACGCGGGTGGTAACTCCTCTAACTGCCCCACGAACAATTAAACAAATGCCACGAAAATACGGTATGCTTTCATGGTCATGAGGAAACCGGCGCCGATGCTACCCCATTGCTGAGCACCTTCGGCACATTTGCGGAGCGGGGCTTCCCAAGAGAGAAACCCCCTGCAAGGGCCGACATATAGTCCAAAAAAATGTGCCGCTGCTGAAATTGCCCAGTCCTCCCCATCCAGGCGCGCCCGCCGCCACCGCGGTGCGAACCTCGTGCTCGTCGTACGGATCCACCGGCATCACCAACGTCTTCGGGATGTTCAAACCAAGTCCTGAGACCCGTTCGAACTCATCGAACAACGCCTGCAGAGCACCGAGTTGCCGCCGACCGCCTCTCTGATTCGCAAGAATGTGACGACTGAAAGAGAGAGAGAGAGAGAGAGAGGGAAAGAGAAAGCGAGAGAGAGAAGCAGGGAGAGAAAGAGAGACACAGAGAGAGACACTTGAAGATGCAAGAGAACAATCGAAGAGCAGAGGGCGACAGATTGGGGAGTGGGGGAGAGAGGATACGGAGGGCAAAGAGGGGCGGAGAAGGGACGAACGTGCAAGAAGGACTGGAGACTGTAGGGTGAGGGGGAACGAGAAGAGAGGGCAGAACCATGGAAACCTGAAGAGGAGGACGGCAGCAGCGGGGAGACCGAAGGGAGCCTGACACTCATGCCTTCCGGCACCACCGACGAGAGCGTGAGGCAGACCATTTGCCATCATCTGGCACGATAAGTGCGGATACCTCGGGGCAGGAAGGAGAGCTGCAGAGGGACGCAGGGCCGAGGGCAGGGGCAGGGGCAGGGGCGAAGTCGGAGGGCAGAGAACAGAGGACAGAGGGCAAGGTCGGAGGCATTGAACATGCAGGTAGCAGGTCCTGAGGCAAAAGGATCCTTGGAATTGTTCGCCGCATTTGCCCCCCCCCCCCCCCCGGGGCCCTCCACGGCCCTCGGAACCGTCAGAAAACTATTCGGGATGAAGAGCTGGTCCTGGGGAAAGCCCCGGGATCCAGGACCCGTTTCCCTCAGGACCTCTTCTAGACGAGCGCGCTCCACTACTCGCAACGTAACTACTCCCAAATGGCCTGGATCCCCCGCGGGAGATCTACGATAAAGTACATAAAAGCAGACATGTGCTTTTCGCACGTTTGCGAGTAGGCACGTTGCGAGTAGTGGAACGCGCTCGGTGATCTTTACCCCATGGCGACGGATACGGGCCGAGGCGGGGCGGGGGGCAAGGGCATGAGCGGTGGCAGGGGCAGGGGCACAAGCAGGTGCCGAGGCAAAAAGCTGAGGCAAGGTATGCAATGCACTGTCGCGAAATGCCGAAAAGCCCGACACCAACAGCAGCGAAAAACCAAACTCAGCCTGAACACCACTCTGGAAAAGCAGGTGTCACTGCTTTCCAACTGCGACGGTATTGTGCCTCCTCGAGCCGATCGCCCCCCCTTCAACAAAAAAAGGCAAACGGATTGCTCGCAATCCCCAGCGCGAGTAATTTAACCTGGTCAGAAGCCCTTGCAATCAAAGCGCGCCCCAGGAACGCGGCGGCGGATTTGAATAGCAGGCCCATGCCACGTCAACTACAGAGGTGCAGGCAGACGAGGGGAGGCGAAGGGCAGAGGCAAGGACGGAAGAACATAAACTAGACATGAATCGTGGCAATATCCATGCTTAATAAACGCCTGTGAGGATCTCTCGGTCGTTGCGTGAAACAGATGGGCAACGTAATGAATCCCCCCTCTGGCCCCAGCAGTTACGTACCTGCGGAGAACCATTTGCTCGGCTGCAGAATCCCCCGGAGTCCAACGCGGCACGTGCGCTGCAGTCTCATACGATGGGTCCGCGAGTCTAGAGCCATGATCTCAAGTCGAAGCCGACAGATAACCGTTCCCAAAGCCATGATATTGAAAGCCAAAGGCAAATATGGGTCCTTGGCCCCTGGGCCACGATCCTTCATAACGTAACACGGAACCCCACTACCGGGACCACGAGATGCTGGGGAGGGCGCGGCACCAGTAGAGCAGAAAAGTGGCAAGTCCGCGGGCTGGAAGGGTGGGAGCACGAGGAGAAAGACTGGGATTAGGACGACGCCACGAGAAAACGAGGACCACGATGAGCACGAAGATGAAGACGAGGAGGGGACACGAAGACGACAAGCGAAGACAGACATGTACAAAAAGATGGTTTCTACGATCGGCCCCGCACACACACACACACAGTTTATCCGACACACACACACAACACACACACACACACACACACACTCAACACACAACACCCATACACACACTCTTTGAAGTCGGCGGCGCAAACGGTCCTCAAGCGCGAGCAGCAGATGGAAGTGCGAATTGCGATCGAACATCGTCGATGGCACAATGTACGAAACATCGCACACGGACGAGTGCAGGATGGGTGGTGTGAAAGAGGAGCTGTACATGCATGCGAACGTGCAGCGGCCACAAAAGCGAGGAGGCAACTCAACTCGAAGTGAACTGAAGCGCGAGCTGTCTAGTGCGAACTGGCGGCCACTGAATCACCGAAGGACGATGTCAGGCAATGAAGCGCAAAACTGTAACGACTGCCAGACCAGCTGGCATTTTGGGAAGAAACGCTGACCCCGCACGGTCCAGCAACAAATTGATGGAGTGTAGGCCAACAAAACCAGCATTGGGTACGAGAGCCGTGACAATGGCCAGAATGTGGGCCAGCTTGCAGCGACACCATGACGGCGTAAAAAACGGAAAGAAAACGCGTCGAGATACGAGGCGCTATGCTCCTTCCAACGGCATACAGTCGGGGCGTTGACCTAAGGAACCCTAAATAAAGAACGAGGCCTCTTTTTCCCATAAGTGAACCTTCGATTTCCCATCGAAACCCTAAGCAAACCAAAGGCGAAATGCAAAACAACGAAGGGACCCCGAGCCCCTCCCCAATGAAAAGGGTTCCTTCCTCAGTGCCCCGACTGTAAGCATGCTGACAAGACAAGACAACATGCAGACCAGACTGAAGGTCCAAGTCTGCTGTCACGCAACAGGACTGAACAGTCAGACAAACTGTGAGGTGACCAAAGACCTGTCCACCGTCGCCGTGTCAGCCACCCAGCCAACACCCGCCAGCACTGACAAGCGAGAAGCCGACCCGCTCAAGGGTGAAACGCGTGCAACCCATACATACACACACACACACACTGGCCGCGCACGCACCGTGCTTCTTGCCCAGCTTCACCTGCCTCATCCCCAAGCTCTTCGGAGCGGTGGCGGGGCGCCCATCCAGCTCGAGGAGCACCTGGGTGACGGTCTCCAGGGAAGCCTCCCCAGATAGAGAACAAGGAAAGCGAAGAATGCTGACATCCAGCCAGGAAGGCGCTGGGACAGGGACGCAGCTGTCCCACCGACGCACGGAAGGCCCACGGGGCCTGGGAATGATCAAGACCCGCGCACTCGGCCGCAACTCGACCGCCGCCCACCACGGCGAGGGCGGCAGGCAGGTTTTCCCGGCTGCGCCGCTGGTCTGGCGGGCCGGCTGCTGGCAAGCACGAGCAGGCCGCAACCGGGAGCACTTGGGTGAATCAACTTGCGGAGTTCCGCTCGGAAAGCAAAACGCATACGGTGCGATAATTATCCAACCTTCCAGTGCGCAGTCCTTCCCACATAAATCAAGCGCGGCCCTCAAACGACACCATAAAGGATTACGTTCCGAGAGCCAACCCCTGCCCCGATCAGAATCAAAGTAATGTCGTGGCATCCCCTGCCCCCGGTTTCCCCCCCGCCCCTGACAGGATGAGACGAAAGAAGGTGATGGAGGGACAAAAGCACGGTGGGGGATAGCAGCAGGGGGTAGCCGCAAAACGTCTCCATGACCCGGGTGGCAACCCCTTCACTAATGCTCCCTTGTTGCCCTTCCCCGTGAACTCCTTTCTTTCCTGTCCCGTGCATACCAGCACTCCTCCCACTTTACCTCTGCTCCGCCACCTCTACCATGGAGGAAAGAACAACTTGCCAAGGAAGCATCCCTGGACAAGGATAAGGACAAAGCGAAAAGAAAATGGGAAGGGCTGGTTGCGCGGTGGGGAAGAGAACACAGATGGCCCACCACGTGACTGGACGTGTTGTCCCACCATCGGTCGCCGACCCAAGACCCCCAGTGTTCCAAAGCGACCCATTTGAATTTGAGCGGTTTCAAGTGCACGCCTTCCGAATGCTTCTGCTAGATTACCCCTCCCCACCTCCCCACGAAATTCTGCACCACTGCCAACTGATACCAGGGAACCCCCTCCTGCAACCGCAGCGGTCTCTACATAAACTATTATAGTAAACGTGAAGCAAATCGTGGACCCAAAACAAACATTTGTTGCACTGTGGACGTACACGACATGTGGTGCAAGCTATGCGGCGCAGTCCATTTTGCAGAACTACAAATCGTCAGTTACATTGCTCGCTCAACCATCCCACACCCCCACCCGCAAATCACGTTGCACAACCCATGCGGCCACGATTGCGGTGACTACCCCGGACCAGCTGGCGCATCTACGCCGCGGCGCTAGCGAAGGGAGCCTCGCGCGCAGAGCGGCCAACGAGTTTGGCACAACAAATGCGGCCACGATGGCGCTCACCAGTGGGATGTTCACAACGCCTATCCAAAACCGTGCTGGCGCGCGGGCACTTCAATGCGGGTCGGTGGCTCGGACGGGCGCGGTATCATGATGACGCCGAAAATGGCAGCAACGATGATGAGACTAGCGATGGTGAAACGGTGATGACGATGACGAAAGCAAACACAATGACGAAGCCGATACTGGTGACGACGATGACAATGATGCGGTCCATGTGTCGGTGATGAAGGCGATTGGCTGATGCGGGCGACGGCCGACGACGATACAAGTAGGGCTGCGGTAGCGCTGGTGAAGAATCATGGTGAGGAAATGCGCGCGCGGAAATGTCAGAAACCTGGCATATGCGCAATGAAAACATGATTCCCAGAATGCTTGAAAAGCTCTCTCACAGAAGACATCGGAAACCTATCGTGTTGGAAGGATTTTGACGTGCGCGTGTGGCGGCGCGCGCGTGGCCCGCATGATATTACTCGATACGTTTTCGTCCAGTGGGCGCATGCTGGACCCACGCGGATGCACCACGCGGTGAAATGAGAAATGTGGCTCTGGACGAAGTTGTTGAATCATGTGGATACCATACGAGAGCAGCAACTGCGCGCGAGACAGAAAATCTGCAAAAGAAATGCTTGCACAGCTAATGTGATTGGTCTGCTTTCGTTGTCGTGTGCGCGTTTGTGGCCCTTTTTTTGCGCCATGCGTTCCAAGGGATTATTCAAGAAACTGCGTTTGAAAGAAACCCTGCCGAACTGGAAATTGTCGATTCCGCTTCTCGCACAATCATCCCTCCCACCCGCCCGCAACTTGCAAAACCCATGCAGAGACGATTGCGATGACTGCTCGGCGCTGGCTGGCGCATCGCCGCGGCCGCGCTAACGCGCATTCTCGCGCGCAAAGCCGCCAGCTAGTTTGGCGCGACAAGACGCAGCCGCGGTGACGCTGACCGCAGGAGACTTCCTAGCTGGCAAGTCGGTGACTTGGGCGGGCGCGGTACCATGGCAACGTCGACAACGGTAGACGCGATGATGAGGATGACGATGATCATCACGATGATCTTGATGATGAAGATGATAATCACGGATCAACAAAGAAACGATCAGCTGACTAGAGAAGCTCGGCGCGGGCGCGGCGCGCGGCGCACGCGGCACTGCGGCGCACCGTGGACAAACGACCACCACGGTTGCAGTGGTCCTTCATGGTGTGGAAGAGTTTGTTGGCCGTTGCCGCGCGCAGCAAGCCGGACTGCGAAGTCACACCAAGGCGCCCCCGTACGGAAGAAGGAGACGATCCCGGCCAGTCCTCGGCAAACCCCCAAAACCTGTCACAGTTGAAATAATGCCGTTGGTCTGCATTCGGGAACCCGCACATGTAGCAAGCATGGCGGACAGGCTCATGCATCCGACGAATTGTAAACCAGCCGTCCTCAAGATCAGGGTACGTTGCGGTCCAGTAACAGACCGGAGGCTCGCAATACCGGCAGCAGCATCAGCGCTCGACAGCGTGTCATCGTTCGCGAAGCTCTGCCAGCACTGCAAAATGAGGGCCGGCCAATCCGATGCCCACCACTCCTGGAGGCGAGGCGAGGCGAGGCGCGCCTGAGTCCGCCCGGGGGCGGGGCCTGAAACGCCGGCGCGGGCGGGCCGGGGCCCCCAATTGCAGATGTGAGACTTGCGGTCAGTGCTGTGTGTGTGGCGTAGGAATGCTTATTCAAGATTGTTCCATTGAGCGCTGTCTTGTGCTATCGTAAACCATCGTCCGCTGCCTGGTTGGAGAAGCATGAACGCTGACGTTGAAGCATGAAACCACCACTCCTGGAGAAAACGCTGAAGACGCTGACGCGGTAGCATCCCGGACCGCCAATCGCGGCAGACGGCTGCAATATGTCCAACACCGTGGCGCTGCCACGAAGGATGTTAAATCCGCAGCACGCTCGAGATTCAGAGCAAGCAGCGGGGACTTCCACCATACGCGCGTGAAGGAACCAATGACGTGAGCGAAACCCATGTCGTTCTCAGCCGGGGCCCACGTGGTGGCAAGCGCAGCCCGCCAAGAGGTGCACGTAGTCCGGGCGAAGCGCGACATGATGGACAAGCCGAAGCACTCGATGGACTTCGGAAAACCGAGCTGGTCGATGAAGAAGCCGGCCCAGGAAGGAACAGCCTCTCTCGGAAAGCGAAAGAGCTTGGCAATGATTGAGTCCTGTCGGTTAACGAACACTGCGGGCGGATCCACAAATTGCAACTTGTAGCTCAACACTGTCTGCACGCGGACTTTGTAAACCAGGATGTTTTGCGTCATGGGCTCGTGCGAAGGTCCAATCAACGATAGACGATGCAAGAACTTGGCGGTGGGTTTGGCCCATTGTTGAGCCCCCGCGTCCTGTCCCGAGAACATGCCCATATATTCGAAGAAAGGCGCAATGCGCATCGTTGCCCATTTCGGCACGTGGAGATTCAGCCAGTCCCGGATTAAGTCGACCAGGGAGGGTTTGAAGCGAGCTCCGGTCGGCGACAGCACGCACTTCTTGAGTTTCTCAGCCAGGCCCGTCGCACGCCTGACCAAAATATACACATCGTGGATGGGAACCATAGCTCGGATATCCCGGAAAGAAATACCCACGTCATCCGCGCACATACTGAAAATGCCCTTGTCGGAGACAGCTGCGCGGAGGCCGAAGACCAGGGGATCAATGCAGAGAACGAAAAATATCGAGCTGAGTGGGTCGCCCTGCAGGACACTGGCATAGACGATGAAGCTCCCAAACGCCGTCGATCAAGATGACCGTGCCATGGCTGCAAAGTCGCACATGGAGTGGTACAGACCGATGACGAAGTCGGGCCAGCCCTGAAACTTCAATATCTTCAGAAGCCAGCTGTGGGCAATGGAAACAAAGGCTGTGCCATAATCCAACGCCAGGCTGGCAGGAAGGAAAGTACCCGGTGGCCGGTACGACGCCTGCACCACGTGGGCGTCCAGCTCGACAATGTTGTCCGTGAACTGGCGGCGCTTCACGAAGTCCCGCTGCTCGCTCGGAGCCTGGTTGGTGACGTACGGGTTCATCATGAGTGCCAGGCCCCCCGCAATCGTTTTTGCGTCGGCACTCCGGCCACTGAGGGGACGAAGGTTTTCAGGAGACCGAACAATTTCAACCGCATCATGCTCATGGTGGCCTTTGGGCGAGAGGGCGAGCGAGTAGGCCATGGCACGGTACGGCAGAATACCGCGATAGCATAATTCGGCCACTTCGGCAATAGCCTCAATGACAGGGGAATCCCACCAGCCCTTTGGGCGTGAGTGGTTTAGAGCGCCCGCTCTGTTCTCAACCCCCTTCTTCCCCTTCGGGGAGGGGTTTACCCCTCCCCCTACCCCCTCCCCCTGGACCTGGAGAGGTCCTTTCGCGGGTGGTTGGAGGGGTCTTTTTCGACTCCTGGGAGAGCTAAAGAACGACACCCCTCACGAGGATTCTGGCCCCGACGGGGGGGGGAGAAAAAACCCGCCCCTCTTCTTTGAAGCCAAAATCATTGATCTTACTACGGTTTTGGCCCCATTTTGGCCTTCTGAAGGGGGCAGCGCTAATGAAAGCTCCCCTCTTCTTTCAAGCCAAAATCATTGATGTTACAAAGGTTTTGGCCCCATGTTGGCCTTCTGAAGGGGCAGCGCTAATTAAAGCTCCCCTCTTCTTTGATCGATTTCCTCCAAG